CTACCGCTCAATTGTCTACGCGACAGAGTCCTAAATGTACTGATTATGCCATTGTGAATCGTGAACGTGGACGTACAGGATAATTGGTAATTTCTCTACCGAATTTATACGACTATAGCAGTAGTTATAACTATCTTTATTATCGTAGAGGAGGCTATCTATCGCAAAACGTAGGCTCAAACCATAGCACCGGACTTCCCCCGATGAATTAGATAGCAACAAATTTCAATTGCATAAAATAAATTTATGTGGTAGACCTTTTAAATGAATTTCTGTCTCTGTTTGAATAGAAAAAAAGAGCTATAGTAAGAAAATCTGTATAAATTGTAACATCGCTAAGGTCATCTATGCGAAACAAAAAACCGTGTTTACTTAAACCCAGTCGTTTGTTGAAGTTAAAACTGAGCTTGTTCTAAATAAATATCATAATCATAGATACATACATTTCAGTGCTTTCTTTCTTTTCAGTGAAAATAAATGTATTGTTAAGGTGATATACAGGTATATAGAAGGGTTATACAGGGATATATAGAATAAAGTTAGGATGAAAACAGTTTGCGAAGTTTGAAAGCGTGTGCGAAATTCCCTTTCAGTTTTGAGGGGTCTCCTAGAGAAGGGATCAAAACAAGCAAATTAGGACCCTTTATATGATACTTCTAATGCCGTTTCGGTTGACCTAGACATCGTATACACCCGCGTGGAGATTCAGCGTAAAGCTTTGAAGATTGTGACCAATGTAACAAGGTCCAGTCAACAAGAAACACCTTTTGCATCAATTGACTTCGCATTGTAATAAAAAAAAATAAAGTAAAACATTGGCCAACTGTTATTTACCCCTATGGTAACAATATATTTTTTATTTTTGCGCAAACTTGATGAAAGAAAGGCATGTTTAGGCTAACGACAAAGTACTCCTAAACATAAATTTGGTGAAAATACAAAGAACTTGCGTATTGATTAAGGATGCAATCATTGCACCATGTCTGCGTAGGCACGGCAACACGTTTATCTAGCCGCTTTTGTATAGAGTTTCAATGCTGCAGTACTATATTTCTTAGTAACACCTGTATACTTGTTTGTGTATGTGACGATTACAGTTACGACAATGTTATATGTAATTACACATATTGAAATGATCACGTTGAGACTCAGCTACTTTTTTTTCCTTTACATTTACAACAGCGTTTCAATAAGGAAAAAAAAAACACAGATTTGTCATTATCGAGTCCTTAGTCGACGTTTTACAAAGTAGGACCGGTGCAGTCGTTATCTTTTCTAGATACAATTTGTTTCGAAATATATCTTTGTTGCTTCCACTAAGCTATGTTAGTTACAAGTAAACGATTTCCGTAGTTATGGCCTTGCTTTGTTATGCCCATAGTAGAAATACTTCTATCAGGTTGCCTATACGAAGTTACCGTTGCCCTACGGCTTCCTTGGTTGATTTTCTGTCATTATTCGGTTAGTCGTCCTGCGAATGTTCAATAGAATTTTAATACGAAAAGAAAAGTTTTGATAAAATCTATTCCACTCACTTATTGATGCAGTTCGGTTACCCTTTATACAAATTGGATGTCTGGATGTACAGTTCATGCTTAACATACCCGTACATTTGCGTGGACTCTTAGTGTCCGGAGAAAGAAATCAGCTTCTGTTGCTGGCCGAAAAAATGGCCGGCTTCCTTCAATTTCGCGCGGTATGACTTCATGCCTGAGTGCTTCTAAGCGTTTACAATCCTATCGAAGCTATTATCGCCTATTTCTCCATCGTGTTTTGCAACGCCGTAGCGGTCAACTCGAAACCATCAGCCAATTTACGTAAATTACGTTTTTTTTTTTTGTAGTAGCGCTCTCCTTGCAGCCGCACATTTACGTTATATTATTATTGTCCAATGGCGATTATCTTATTCTGCTACCTTTAACCCTTCTTACATCATAATATATATTTGCATAATCTTAGTCATATTATTCTAAACGTATTTCGATTATCTTCTTCTTTTCAATGCTATTTTTTTTCCACCTTTTATCCTTTTCATCTCTCCAAATCGTTTCTTGAAATGAATGAAAATTTATGAAAAATAAATATCAACATCTTCTTTCCGATATTTGCACTACAGCAGTGCCTGGCTTGCCGTCATCAAGGCATTGTAAACTTTACTAACTATTACTGTAATTTTTTGGCCTTTTTTCCATAGTAATCTTCTAACTTCATTCACATTTCACGTCATAGCGTTGTCAACAAAGCAAAAACAAGCAGAAATTCAAATAATTTTTTTCCCTTATTCAAAAACGTCATACTAGTAATAATAGGTAATAATCTAAGCAAGTTACGCATTATCATGTAACATTCTCTATCACATAGTTACTCACTGGCTTACTACAGCGGATTTTGCATGAAAAGCAATGTGATAGCTAGGCCTGAATGGGCCTATTGCTATGTAACTCTTTCGAAATTCCTTGGGAAAATTTCTACTTGACGGTATGACGCTGATACATGCGGACCAGAAACATATCGATGACTGTGACTGATTGAAGCAGGTGCTCGTCCCATTGATACGAGAGCCCGGCCCAACTGAAGCGGGCGTCAGTTTTTACTTCGGGGTTATTAGTACTCAGTGTTATCTGCCTACTACTGATAGACTTTTCCTAGGGTAAATGTCTAGAAGTTGCAATTTACACTATTTATATTTTTAATCAGACAATGAATTTGAACGGTTTTTGAGGCTAACTGTGAGTGTGGTTTTTTTTTGATGTGGTGGCTCACCACAGGAAGAGACCTTGTAGAAAAATGAAGCCAGGCTTTTATCGTCTAACGTGTTGTAAGAACTACGCGGACCCAACGTATCATAGGTTATATGATATTATCAATGGCTACCAATTGAGGTCATGAGGATATTATTTATTGTCCGAATCCATGTGGCTTTTTAGACGTCAGAGAAAGACAAATAAAATTAAGCCAAACTGCGGGTTCCTTTTCCTGCAGTAACTTTATGATAAGGCCCAAAATTTTGGCCGTTTTGGCAGAATATGACTAGTGGGCTAGTGAAGTTAACATGTCCTGTTGAATACCGCCACTTCTCATATTTTGACCCTTTACCAAAGGTGGCAAGTTCCCTATTTGTATGGTGACTTCGACGCCTTAAAAACTTTAACCTCACACGTGAAATTTGCCTGAAGGTAGTAAGCGTCTGACAGAGGCAGATGCATACCTTTACAGTTTAGTTCGATAGCTTATATAGAAGCGCATGTTATTTTTTCCCGAAAATTTGTGTAGCAGAAATATACGAAACTAGTTCCTCTAATGTAACCCTACCTACAGGACATTCCTTTAAAAAGTATTGTTGTTAACCGGAAGCCTCGATCTATTTATTCCACGCTGTTACAACAGCATTTTTAAGGCGTTACCGTAAAAAAAAAACAGTTGTCGACTGATAAACTGGGCTTGACAAGTGTTCATTACGATCTCGTTATTTGAGTTTCATTTTAGATCACCAACACAGCGGCACGAGTAATAGATAGGTCTTTAGTGTATAGAGTTTTTCCGCGAGATGCCATATTTGTGCAGATCATGCTTAATTGATACCAGTGATCGCCATTTAATCCTTTTTTTGCTGTTGAAATTTTTTTGGTACAAATTTGTTAGCATTATTTATGTCAGCATTATTAAAGGTGGAAATAGCCCATAGTGTTCAATACCCAATGAGTCCTCTAAAGTGTTATATGTCTATATATATGAACTTCAGGGGAACTAATTTAAGATAGCGAATGTCGAAACACGATTACAGAATCAAACGGCCTCGAAATGGTCTCATCGACCAGATAAAGGTAAATAGCTTATTTAGATATATTAAGTTAATAGTTGAGCTGATCATAGAATTATTACGAACAGCTCATCTACTATCGAAAGCTACGGCTGCTCCAAGGGCAGTCGTTAATGGATTTTTATTCAGCTCATAACTTAATCGTTGCTACTTTTTTTTGTTTATTAACTAGTTATTGTAACTTTTTACAATGCCCACTCTATCAGCTAAATGATTCAGTAGAAGTTCAAGAAGCGAGGACGAAATTGGCGTGCGGACAACTAGAACGTGCTCTGTCACAGCAGAAACGATTAATGCATTATTACTGATATTGTGACAGGATGTATTAACAAATAGTATCCTACTGATAAATGGAAATAAATTAAATATTGAAATTATACCACGCTTTTACTATGTTGCAACGTAACAACAATGACTTAAGTTCTTAGGACACATGGATTATGACGGACTCTTCTGAAAACTTTTGGTGGTTAATAAATAACAGTGTTGTATTGGTTGAACAAACGAATGAAGAGTACAACTTTAACTGTTTGGAAGTTGCCGTTCCAAAACATCAATTATGTTATATTATCTGTGCTACGTTACGTTCACTCGGCATACGGGCTCCCTGAAACGCTGGGCGCCATCACAATAGCCGTGCAGGACCATATTCCGTGCTTCATTCGATTGTTAATTGCAATATGAACGTATTGTTTTGATTAGTCACATAAATTTATATAAGCCCATGCGTATGTTCTCACAATAGTTCTTATTATACAAATGATAGCAGAAGTGTTTGCGTCCTAGCATGCGTTCCTATATATGCAGGGAAATGAAACAAAGTTTGTAATCGTGGTAATGTAAAAAAGTTTCGTTTCATTATAAAATTCGCATCCTATACGAGAATGAGTTGTGCTTTTCTGTGAATTTCTTTAATTTGTAAACGTTTGTGTTTCTGCAAATCTAGTTTTTGAAAGAGACTGAACGTCTGAGCGTTGTGTAGGGGGCAAAACGAACATGTTCGTAATATGCTAACTTTTCGTATAATTATATAAATTTTAAGCTGTTTATTAATTGCCGAAATTTTTGGTCGGCAATTCGTTTCTTCGAATAATATAAAGCTGAATCAGTGAAATACACATGTTCACCGTCGGGTATGGACAACGTGCATTTTGATTTTTGTTATTTCTAGCTAGTAGCCATGGACGTTGGAAAAAATCTCGGACCAAACCAGACGGGTGAGACCTTCTGCAAAGGTCCCATCGTTATGAAAGGATATCTCAATAGCCCTGAGGCAGCCTCCAAAGCCCTGGACAATGACGGATGACTACGGATAGTGAGTTTCCTCCGAAGAGCTACTCATAAGGCAAAGTGCATCAGGTTGTCTAATTTAAAAATGGTTGTCTTTGGAAAGCCATAAATTTGACGTTCGGTACATTATGTTTCTTTATTCCTTTAGATTACGTTAGTGAATCCTTAATACGTATATTTTTATATATATATATATATAGTATCAGAGGTAAACAAAACAAGATAATAAACGCATAGTAGATTGATATGGTACCTTACTTTTGCTTGTCTCTATCCATAGCTTTATTTACTAGCATATCTGTTGTACCATAGCTAGAGCACCTTTTTCACGGTAGTATTTAAGCAGAACCTTCATTTTTATTATATTATTTATTATATATTTACTATAGTGTTAAGCCTAATAGTCTGCTAGGTCTAAGCGTCGTCTAGCTAGTCGTCTTTTAATGCTTAATCGAAAGCCAAATGGCTTACTTTTTTATGTGCCCAAGTAAAGGCTGGCAAAACGCCCAGTTTTTACATTTGATTTATCCGCTGCTTGGTGAGCAGCTAGTGACGAGTAGTAGTCACGCTATTGTGTCTATTGTAGATTGTAACCTATGAAATCGACTAAACTGTGACGATATCCGTCATAAAAAGTACTTGAAGGCGGTTTCTAGCTAAAAGGTTTTGATAGTCGATGAATATTCCATTGAGCGCTAAACTTAAACGCTGCAGACCAAACAAGAAAATTAAAAAGACTGTGTGACACCTGTACTTGAGTAAATTGACCGTGCTTAAAAGCCGTGTATTTTTGCGTGTAAACAACTTTTGAATAAGCCAGTACGAAAAACAAAACAAAAAAAAAAACTTAGGAAGCTACTAAAATGCATTAAACTCAATTTGCTATTTAGCCAGCTTCCTTCCGCATATTAGAACTAGTATTAACGTCTTGTCAATCACGCGTAATTGACGCTACAGAACAACCTTTGTATTAGAGAAACATATGGGCATTTTTCGAAAATGCCTAGATATGACCCAAAACGCCGTTCAGTTTACAGAGTCCTATAAAGTTACCATTTGGGCCTAGATATTGTACCACGCTTGTTTGGACTTTCAATGAAGGCAGTGTAATACAAAGCTCAATGCTCGAATTCAATATATGATCTGTTCATGAGGCGCTGCTGGAACAACCCCTAGCAAAATTGCCGAAAGAGGGCCAGCCTGCAGAACGGTTTGGACTAATTGGCAATTTGTTTACCTCATTATAATTTGTTGTCTAAGGCGGTAGAACAGAGAACGCTAAAGTGACGAGAATACATTATATAAATAAGGAAAGAAACATAGGCTTTTGAAGAAGGTCGGTGTAGCTGAAACGCGAAAGACTATATTCCGAATTAAGCTTAATGATTTGGTTTTTATAGGTGTTTATTCGAAAGTGTAATATAAACGATTCAAATTTGTCTATACATTTTAACGTGATGTTTGTTGATCGTTTGCCAGCGCATTGCTTTAGTCCGAGTAACAAAATCATTGCTGTATGCTCTGTAGAAATCCTAGGGTTAATTCGTAAACAAGAGTCAATTGCGACCTAGTCAACTTAAACTTGATTTTGTAAAGTCCTTTTAAACATGGAGAACTTGAGGTTCAAGGCATTTAACACATGTGGAAAAAAGGGTCTCTACATTGAGAGCTACTCGCCATCTTTTGCGCGATTAAGCTCAATTTTTTTTTATTGATTTCCTGTTCATTATTGTAAAATTCAAATTGTGTGAAAACAAACGCCAGAAAATTGTCTAAGAAAACCGCAAAAAATCTGATTTCTAGTTCATTATTGTGAAATTCAAATTGTGTGAAAACAAACGCCAGAAAATTGCTTAAGAAAACCGCAAATAATCTGATTTCTAATTTTTGAAGTAAATTGATTGATTCACCCACTAAGCCGAACTGTTTCAGCAGCTACTACGATGAGGAAGTTGAATTTTATATTGTCGAAAGACTAAAACAACTGATCAAATGTATGGAGGATCAAGTGGTTTCGACGGAATTAATAGAGTATTTTTTTTATAACACTTTTCTATGCCTGAAGAGCCCTAATAGCTTTTATACTGATTAGATTTGAGAACAGGAAGCCGTAGGACGTTTGGAAAAAAGCCTATGTTTAACTTAAATAGTATATAAGTTCACTTATTGTATAATCATTTTTTTGCATTGGATATCAAGCATTATTTCTGCCGGAATAGGTTAGAATTATATGTTATCATAACGTTTCGGTGGAAGACACGGTAAACAAAAGAATATAGGTGTTATGTGGATAATTAATATATAAATACATTTCGTCGTATTTGGACTTTCAGCCACGAGTCAGTGAAGGAGGCTGTCGTAATTGGGGTTCCTGATGCGACCATAGGCGAAGTTCCGACAGCATTCGTTGTTCCAAATAGGGGTTATGAGGCAAAACCCACGCTCGTCAAGTTCTCAAAGATGTTGTTGCCTGTAAGTGATTTTATCTCTTACCTTTGTATGACTGAGGCCTTCGTAAATCCATGACGCTGAGAATTTTCCCGACGCAAGGGTTTTTCCATAACTATTTTAGCTGAATGATTGCGATGACTTAAGTGAACGGAAACCTACTGGATATGTGACATATTGCATATGTGAATTTCTAAAAAGTCCACTGTAAAAGGAAATAGTTTTAACATGATGTTTATCTTCATAACTTCTACTTAGAGAGAATTTTTTCACCTTTTAATGGCAACCATTTGCTGCTTACAGCGCAAACATCTATTGCAAAGATCTTCACGGTGGGCTGCAATTCTTGAACAAGCTGCCGATAATGGATAACTGAAAATTGAATCGGTCAGAGCTAAAGAAAACACATATGGCTCCTTTTAAAAAGGCTAGAGAATAAAAGGGTAATAATTTGAAATTTTTTTTCTTGTGCGCCGCACATTGCCACAAAAAATTCGGTACTCTCCACCGAAGGAGCTGAGAGGTGATATAACAGAAGATAGAAGGAGGAACAGACCTTAACTAAACGTGATCTACATCGGACATAACATTTAACCATAGCCCTTCTTCTGTAGCCTTTGGACTAGCTATTTTGATCCGAGAACGTCAGAGTAAAAAGTGCGTCAGTTCTTCGCACAGGAGGTGGATCAGCGTAATCAAGTCGTATTTACACTGGTTCTGCTTGATAATTGTATAGCTAATTACGGGCTGACGATGTACCAAAATGACTTGCGTAAGCGCTAACAAAACGAAGTCTGTATTCTATTATCTTCTCCCTACAAATAACTATGCATATACATATAGGTCAAGCCAAGCACCTTCTCTCACAACAGCAACGATTCATTTTGAAGCAGAGCAGGTATATTCTTCTAGTACTTATTGTATGCTAATTGTGATCTTTAACACTCTACGTAAGTGTTTTGAAGCCAGAATAGACTTTACCTGTAGCCATCGTCTATTTGCGAAATCCTGATTTGCGCAGATTGTTTGCAGTTCTAGGCTCTTTGATGCAAGCTAAAATAGATAAAAACATACGCGCATCAAAACTGCAATTTTATTATTGACCTCGTTAACGGAACTAGTCAGCTGTACGTCCTACTACTATACATATCTGTCGCACGAGGAAATAGAGCTATGCGAAGCGTTATAAAGCCAACAAGTTACAAAGTAGTAGTAAAGAAGTAAGTACAAAGCTGGACTAGGTACGCAAATTGCACGTAATAAAACGCACGTAATGAATAAGAGTTGAAGCAACGTCGGAAATTGCAATCGATCCGGGAGGCACATGCCCATGATATTCAACGAAAGGGTATCGATAAATCAAAAGTTAGCGTTTATACCTAATGAAAATACCATGCTTGGTATTTAAACACTGTTTATTCAAGACAGAACCGAAAAGGCGGCGAAAAAGCTTTTTCCTACCGGCACTATACGCATGATTGGTACAGCCTTTCACAGAAAGTAGCAGGGTATTGGGAGAATCTCAGCAATCCTCTCCTTGTGCTTTATTAATAAAAAAATCCTTGATACTAAGTGTTCGTAATGATTCAAGCACATTCGGTCGAAGGCATTTTTAAAGGCGGACTGAACAACGACCTTCAGAAGACAAAATGAATAACATTGATCGCGTGCAACGCACCTGGCCATTTTTTCTTTTGTAATCTTATCACTTCACCCAAAGTCCTACGACTGGTTCAAATGCTGCCTGGAAGCATTATCTTAAACAGCGGACACAATGTTTTACTTCTATAAAACAAGCTTTCGAAAAATGTGCGACCTTTTTACAGTGATCCTGTATAGTCCCAGTTTAAGCCAAGCGGTTCACTTGTCCGTGATATGATAACTGAGTATATACGTTTTCACAAAGAACCCTCATAATAGAAATAAGGCAAAGCCCATAGACGTGTTTCTCTGCGCCAACATACCTTATTATTTACTTTTGTAAATAATTTTACTCTTTCATTTTTATCAGCTGTGCTAAACATAGTATCACAATATTGGAAAATTTTCAGTTAAAAAATAGCTTCATATATTTTACACGGTTATAACAAGAGATAACACCTTATTGAGTTAGCCGTATGCAACTTCACGGTGCTTGAGCTCTCCAAACTGTTGCTATCGGCCTAATAACCCTGAGAAAAATCAGGAAATATCGTCATATACATACAAATGTAATCTCAATGCCAACAATAGATGAGTAACAAAATCGGCCGTGCGAATTAAATATGACTTAGATGTTGGTACCTAAGGCGTACGACTCCACGGTTTCGTTCTCTGCTTCTCAATAATAATAATAGTAGAAAACAGAAAAAAAATATAGCACATGCAATACATTAGAACAAATGCTGCTGCAAAAACCACATCGCCTAAACGCTGCTCGACCTAAAACCTCGTCATCGCAAGCGCGTATGTTTAAACGTGGGCAGCGACCAAGTAGTCCTGCTTTGTCATATGTGTACATACAAACGATTCAATCAAAACAAAAATAAGAAATATACAATATAAATCAGTCTAGGTGTATTCTCTTTAGAAACATAGCAGATTTTAGGGCCATTATAATGAATATTAATGCTTAAAAAAAGCCAAATCGTTACAACTTCTTTGATAAGACTCATAGGAATGTAAAATAATGTTTTGAAAATAGCTAATAACGACGATGTCTTTCCCATTTGTAATTATCTACGAATTTAAGTATAAAGTGTTTATTTTTTGAGCAGATCATACCTACACACGTGCATACGGTTTAATGGCGTTGTTCTGATATATGCTTATACTTCATTTCTGCAGTTCTATTTTTCAAATTTCGCGGCTGTTTTACCAAAAAGTACCATTTTCTTTACTACATACATCAAATATCGTTTTACAAGCAGTTTCGCCTATCAAGGCAGTTGCTTTTTCTCAAAGAATCATTGTTTTTGCTCTACTAGCTACACGGAGCTTGTTGTTGCCCATTCCGTCTTCCTCAGCCTGTGTTCTTATTCTCGTGCATTTTAGATTAGGGATGACTTTAAGACGTAAATTTACCTAAAATGAGTTTTAACATAAATCAGCCTAAACAGACCTCTGATCGACGCCTGCCTAGGGTAGATTACTGCGTTAGCTTTACTAATGAGCTAAACCTAAGCGGCGATGGAATCTTTGTTGAAGCCGCTTCTGTGCATAAATATGCATTCCTTCAACGCCTTCTCTGAGGTAAAGGCCATTATGTACACACGTGCTGCCTACGGGAGCTTTTCCGTCGTTCCAGGCGGCGCCACCGGCAGAGGAGCCTAACTCAAGCTCCCTCGCTCTGCGGGTCTTTTGAATCCTTTCATGCGGCTTACAGGCTGACGCTAATCATTCTAAACTCGGTAAAAATGTGATCCACTAAGAGTATGTCTCAGAGCCTTCTGTTCCTGACGAATTTATCGCGCGTTATCACTGCTGTAATACATCTCCTAGGTTAAGGTATTTAGCCTATAAAAGATTAGTCCTTTCAGTTAGAACGTCTTGGGCGCAGTCTGTGTCATTTACATACGTTCGAGCAAGCGTACGGTTCATTAAATCTGTAAAGAGAAATTAAACACGTAACAGTCCGGCTAATCACCGGGGGCCATTTCGAATAATTTAAGCTGCCTATAGATGATAACCTGACCAATCGAACGAACGACCATAACAACGTCACAGCTGACTCGTGCGCTTTCCAAATTTAAATTACGTTACGGTGTCAAGGAAGAAACATTTGCGTATAGGCGAACATGAGGGACAAGAGCAGGCTTCAAATAAAATTGCATTACCTTACTTCGAAGCTGACGATTCAAGCTGCACATATCAAAATAGAATAGTAGAACAACATAATTTATAGCACGTATATGACAAACCTTTTCTTCTCGAAGATTCCTTTGAATTCGCTAAAATCAGTAAGGCTATCACGCCCAAGACCGCGGAACCTCCGCACGCGTAAACCATCACATAGTGATAGAAGTCTTCCTTCTTTATTAAAAAACAATTGCTGTCGATGACAAAACACAAAAGGCGCCGCTTAGCACAATACAAATACGAGCAATACGTAAGTGACACAAAGAGAACAACGAAAAAAGTTACATATTAGCTACATGAGGAAGTTGCAGTTATTTTTTCACAATTCGCCGTTTCGCCCTGCCGTAACCCCAAAACAAAATAAAATAGATACCTTCTTAAAAGAACGAGACAAGGAAAACAATTTAGTTGCTAACAATTTTTCATAGCTGGAAACGGGTGCTCTTTTGGACAAGAAACTATTGATAATGTTTCCTCCCCTTTCGCTTTTGGCCAAAACCTTTCCTGAATAGGGGCAGGGTTCCTCAAAACACTCAGGACACAGTTAATCAATTAGTCTAGCTACCATCACTTACTTGCATGTATGCAGGCTCTCGATAAAGATAACGGCGACGCCGTTGGAGAGTTTATCGAGGAAACTCATTGCACCAAACACAAATGCCCCCGATGCAGTGGAACAGCCGATGAGTTCATTGGTGATCGCTAGACTGGTAATTAACAGAATTGTGGACGCTATCCCAATGACGACTGAAACGATGTAGATCTCGAAACTATTAAACGACGCTGTCTTGTCTCGAGTCGCTATCCACATAGAACCGATGACAGCCAGCGCAGCACCCGCTCCGTAGATCGTCTAGTAAAACGGCATAAACACCACGGTGCATATGTTTATTAGCGCCCGAAGTTACCGTCTTACTGATACAGTATTACGGCAAGCTCTTTCTACTTGCTGTATTTTAGAGCGATAAGCAAACTCCGAGTCATAATAACGGACTATACTTTGCTCACTTGCTTTATGGAGATACATGCATGCGCACATACGTAATCATGTATGTAAAGTTTAGAAAAAGAGGAATTTATTTGAGTGGCGATTCAAGGGCTATATGGCCTTCGACTAGCGATATCAGGTGCTATAAAATAGTAGGATACGAACCAGATGCAAGGACTTACCCGCAGTTTAAATCTTGCAGCTGTTCTATTGATCGGAAATGATGCGAGGAACCCGCTAACGTACATCACCAGCGGTATGATCGCGATACTCTCCTAAAATTCGAATGCACATTTCTTCTATAGAAGAACTACAGAAGCTTCATCGTACAATGAAAATAAGCTAAGAACCATTGTTGCTCTGTGATCTGTATTCAGTACGGCTAGTTGATAGGATTACAAGAGCAAAATGTAAACAAAGACAGAGTAAATAAAAATAATGCTAGAAATATTAAGGGAAATTTTAACTCATCATTTACGTTTTTTTCTTTGAAATACGAGGCATTCATTTTTGCAAAGTCTAAAGACTTAAAGCTTATATATATA